GGATTCCTCTGAGTATTTGCTCTGGTTGTCCCTTTATTGTGTGGCGGGGTCTTCAGGACCATTAAACCTGCTGGCCTCACTGAGGCAGGAAAACTGCACCATGGCGGAGGTGAGGTGGGAGCGTACGTGAGTGTGCGTGAGTACCTGAGCGAAGGTATAAGTGTGAGCACGTGTGTCAGTCTGTGTGTCCGTGTGTCAGGGGAGGCAAGGGAGTCCTGAAGATACAGCCAAGGGCACCTCGGCCAGCCCCCGCCTCCACGAGGCCCTCTGGGTGGGGAGGACATTGCTGTCTGCCGCCTGGAGACCCCTGGAAGAAGCGAGAGGAAACCCCCTCGGAGGGATTGGGAACAGGCGTGCTGGGCAGCCTCACCCTTTGTCATTCAAGCAGGAGGCAGCAGGGCGGTGCTTGGCTGCCCCCCACGATGGGCCGAGAGGCTCCCACAGGGACACCTAATGCCAGCCTGTGACGTCCTCACACTGCCAACAGGCCCGGTGGAGGGATTGGAGGACTCGCCCTGCCCACACGCCCACTCGGTGGGGCCAGCTCCCCTCCTCCCCGGCACAGAGCACGGCTCTCGGGCTCGCTGCCCTCGCAGGACACCCCTACTTGGCTAGAGGAGGACCCTGCCTCTGGGCACCCAGCTCATGGCCTCCAGCCTGAGAGGACGTGCACTCACATGGAGAGAGTGTGCACTGTCCCCCCGCCAGCAGACACCCACCCCTGGGGTTCCCAAGCCTGCATCCTTCGCGCTGTGGCCCAGAGGCCACTGGCCTGGCCTCTGTGGGTCCACCGTACCAGGAGTCAAGTGGAGAAGGGCTGGCTGACCTATGCTCAGCCACACCAAGCTCCCGGTCACCTTTCCGAGGTCATTCCTGGAAAGAGGGGGGGACTGAGGAGGAGGGGCAAGGCTGAACAGAGGAGCCAGCTCTGCACTCAGAGTGACACCAGGGCCAGGCAAGGACAGGGGGCGGGAGGTCACAGGAGGACCAGGCGAGGCACCTTAGGGGCTGGTGGTGGGTAGAGACCTAACTACAATAAACACCCATGCGGCAAGTTAGAAGCCCCATCTCAGAAGGAGAGTACATTGTATCTACATCTGAAGGAGGGTACATTGTATCTACATCCTCCACTGTGTCCTTCCCAACACCTTCCCCAAGACTGGAGTTCTGCAAACCGTTAGCATCAGAGAATCTGGGTAAAGGACACCCAGGGTCTCTGTCTCACGGTCTGACAAGTGTGCATGAATCCACAGTTACTTCAGTTAAAGTTCTTATGAAAAGGCACCTACTTAGGAAAACCGCAGCTCTTTACCCCACCTGTGCACACAGCTCTGCGAGTTTATACCAGGACACACTGAATTCGTCTCACTGGTCTCAGAGGTTCCCCAGGGCACCCCAGCCCCAAGCGCCTGCAGCACCCCCTCACCCTTAACTCTGGGCTCTGGGCAGACGTTTGTACGAAGCATCTCGGGCCTGGTCACCCCGTCATCTTCTTCAACACCCTACACGGACGTTGGTGCCAGGTAGGGCTGGGATGGGGAAGACCGACGAGGTGCCCAGTGCCTGGCCTGAGAGTGAGCCCCCCCCCCAGTCTGCACCTTCTCCCCCCTCATTATAGCCCACCTGGCCATCACTCCAGGGTCGTGGGTCAAAAGCAGATTGTCCTGACACGATTGGATGCTGACCCTCACATGGGCACTGCCTTGCGTGGGGGAGAAGACATCACTGGGAGAGAGGAAAGGGGCCACCGTGATAGCCCGTGAGCGAGCTACTCAGGAAGGTGCTTGTGGGACCCACCGTGGACCCTGAACTCAGCTTGATGGCGAGGCTGGTCTATGGCAAACTCCACCCGGGCCTGCAAGGTCAGCGCGTCACCAACTCCCTGTGGAGCTGGGGTGCACGGCCCTGCCCGGCGAGGACACGCAGGCTGACCTCAGTGCCCTAGCTGCCGCCTGAGGCCCACCCTGCATTCTGCAGCTGGCTCATGGGCTCCAGGAGCCCACAAGGGGAAACCATCCCAGCCACCCCACAGAACTGAGGCCCGAAAGTCCCTGTCACTTTCTCAGACCCAGGGCCTATGGACCCGCCTCCTGTGTTCATCCTCAGAGAAACAACACAGCAGCCTGGCCTGGGCCAGCCCCTCACTCATCAGCCAGTGACACTGGGCCCCAGAGCTGATGTCTTCTCCATGTAAATTGGGCCAAACCTGCCCTCCCTAGGCAGTGATGGTGACACCACAGTGGGCGGGAGGGGGGGTGATAGACAGGCCTGGGCTTGGCTGGCTCCCCCAAGCCACTGGCTCCCCAAATCTCTCTCCAAGAACACATTCATTCCAGGCCTTCTCTCCAGTCAGGGACATGCCAGGTCAGTCAGGCCTGATCTTCAACACTCTGAAAGCCACCCCCTTCCTGAGCCCAGGGGCACAGGGGCGGGAGCGTTCCTGGGGGAATTAGGCACCCACTGATCTCTGAACCCAGGGAATTCACAGCCTCACCTCTCAAAGGGATGGTGGTTATTTGTGGGAGACCCACCAGCCCTGCCTGGCAAAGCCGTAACCTTCAGGTTCAATAGAGCTGGATACAAGGATGCATGGGGGCTGGGGGCTGGGGGCTGAGCAGACACTCCTCGAGTCAAAGGGATCAGATTAACATTAAATTGATCAGCACTGAAACCAATCTAAGGTACGGCGCCCTTGTTGGAAGAAGCCCAGGTATATTTAGAAGACAGTGGCAGACCTGAAATGTCACTGGGGACAAGATCCTAAGTGTGCTGTCCAGCTGTGGTCGCACCAAGATGCCCAGGGAGTTCTGCACCAGAGAAGCGGGTTGCGGCCCCCAGAACGATGCATTGAAGGACAAGCCCGGGCTGATAGGCAAGTTGCTGGCAGCAGGGGGTGGTCCCTCTGACAGCAGGGCACAGGGCGCAGGGCAGTGACTGTGCAAATCTGTGGGTTCCTGGTAGAGGGCGTGCACAGCAGGCTGGGCTGGTGAGGTTTCAGAAGCGAGGCACCCTGCTGCGTTGGATATTTTGGGGATGTTTTGCCCCTCTAGCTCAGGGGTTCTCAGAGTGGGGTCCCTGGACCATGGCTCCCATGTCCCCCGGGACTGGAAGAACTACAATCCCTGGGCCCTACCCAGACACGCTGAACCTGAAACTGGATGCAGACAAGGTGGTCTGTGCCCAAACGGGCCCCCTGGAATGTGAGAGGCACTGCTGTGGCTCCGAGAGAGGGGTGAGCAGCCCATGCCAGAAATGCTGAAATGAGAAGAGTGCATCCTGGGAAAACAGGGCTCGACACAAGCCAAGCCCCCTTCAAATGGCCAGAGATCGCCCTGGAAATCTGGGCAGGCGCCATCCACACCATTTCATTCATCCCTGACCCACGAGAAAGTCTGCAAATTTGCCACCTAGCAAGAGGAAAACGACCGGCAATCAGCCGCCCCCAGTCAGTCACCTGTCTGGTTGCCAAGAGAAGCTGCGTGCACCTCAGCTTATCTCCCATCAGATGTTTGTAAAGGTCAGTTCTCAGCTAAAGAAGCTACACCCGCAGACCTGATTCCGCCCCACGCACCTGGCCAGGCAGCGTCAGGGAGGGCGGGAGGCTTACCACGGACGTCCCAGGGACAGTGCCAAGGCTCCCTTACCCGGTCTGCAGGTGGCCTCCGAAGGCATCAGCTGAGACCCCCGAGCTGCGTGCTTTCATTATGGAGTTTTTGTGGATGAAAGGGGACCACGGCTGTGACAGTGTCTCTAAGTGTCCCTCCTTCCTTAGCATCACTCCCAGGGGGAGGACCCACATGACATCGAGGAAATGCTCGGTTGTGTTTGCAGGAAAACCGGGCTTGGCCAGGCCTCTCAAATCTGTTTTCAGCTGAAGCATCCACCATCTGTCTGTCTGTCCATCCATCCATCCATCTATCCATCCATCCATCTATTATCTACCCACCCATCCCTCCATGGGTCCTATACAGAGGCAAGCAGACACGGCAGGCACTTCTGGAAGTGTCTCCATCATCTTAGCCAACAGCAAAGACCCAGACCACGCCCTCCCCCAGGGAGAGACAGGCTGGGGACACCTCCTCCCCCAAGGCCACCTGAGGGTTTTAATGGCCAGGGTAGCGTTCAATCCCGCCAGGCCTATCAAAAGGAGAGCTTGAAGGTACCATTTAGTTCCTAAGAGGAGTGTGGTGGCAGATGAGCGGCCAAGTGGAGAACAGACGATGCCTGGGACTCTGGGAAGCACAGCCCCAGCCTGGCCCCGGGCCATTCAATTCTACTATCCAAGTATGACTTTGAGAGCAACCAGGTAATATAGACAGGGCCTGGTCAGAACGCTGACTTCTCCTCGGCTCTGTGGGTTGGGACCACTAGCACTCCGTCGCCTTGGCCTCTGGGGTCTCGGGCGGCTCGTCGTGCCGACCGACCCACAGAGCACGCGGCCAGCACTGCCTTGGAACAGATGCCCAAGCGGCCCCGTAAGGGAGGTGGGGCTGTGACGTCCTTCACTGTTTCGTGCATCGCGGAAGGAAAGCGCAAGGCCACGCGGCTGGTCAGGGCTGTTCGGTCTTGATTCTGAAGTTCTCGGGTGCCACACAATACAGCCCCAATGTTCTCGCTGCAGTGAGATAACACCTGAAAAAGTGTCCCAGCAGTTCATGGTGACCTTTCTCCTGTCCCATAGGAGATACAGGAAATGAATGGATAAACTGATAGATGGATGGATGGACAGGCAGGTCAGTGTGGACGGATGACTACATGGGAGGGTAGATGAAAGAATGAATGGATGGCTGGGTGGTAGATGGATGGTGGATGATGGATGGATAGATGGATGGATGGGTGGGTGGGTGGATGGATGGCTGGATCGTGGATGGTGGATGCGTAGATGGATGCGGATGGATGGATGGATGCAAGGACAATCTTGAGGGCAATTCTTATCGAAGAAAGGTAGAAGGCGAGAACCCTCACTCGCATTCTTGTCTTTCCTGCCCTGAGATCAGCCCCATTAACATGACCCCTCTGGTTCCTCCCCCTGATTCTGATTGGCTAATCTGGGAGACTACCAGGGCTTGTTCAGTTCAGCCAAGTGCAACCAGACAAGGAGGAGCCCTGTCTTTGGGGGGGGGAGGGTTCCTTGGGTTGCAGGGGAGCACCTGCGTACCCACTCCTGGAAATGGTTTTTCAGAAAGGGAGATGGGAATTGAGGGGCTCAGTGTTGCTATTCCCTGCACTTTAATCAACCACAGCAGACGTGGACACTTGTCCCAGCCCCAGACCTTGTCTGTAAGACAAGAACAAAGCAGTTCTGGCTCCAGGAATGGCCTAGTGAGAGCCGATGATGCTCGGGGGACCCGCCGCCTGACCGAGCTGCCCAGGGCCGCCGGCCGCTGCGGGCACCGTGCTCATTGGCATTCGCCTCGCCGAGCAGCCGCGAGCGTCTGGGCCGAGAGCAGAGCGCGGCTGTTAATAACACAGCAGATTAATAGCTCCGAGAAAAGACATTCCTGCAAACATGCTAAATATTAATAATAATCAATCGCCGTTTATTTTCCCAGCCCCTCGCCCGGGACCTGCCCAGGGGGACCAGAGGGCGAGGAGCCCCAGCTGCAGGGCGGACAAAGCTGAGTGTCATTAGGGCCCGGGAAGGTGCAGGGCTGGCTCTGGCCTCGGGTCTCGTCACAGCCCTGTCCCAGCCTCTCCTGCCAGGGGCCGGGGTATGGGGACCTCCCCAACAAAGAGGTGCGGCTCCCCCTCCCGCCCCGGCCCGACGAGAGGGCAACCACTTGACCCGACCACTGTCACACACACGTGCTTCTTTTGTCCCGAACACTGAGCTGGCAGGGACGGCCCCCAGCGCTGCCTCCTTTTGGAAGTGAAGGAAGTGAGGTCAGAACAACCCATGATTAGTCCAGGGTCCAGAGCGGGTAGTGGCACGTCCAGGCCCTGGGACTCTGGCCTCCTGTCACCCAGGATGTCACCAGCTCCTGGTTGAACGGTATCCCTCCAAAAGATATGTTTTGTCCTCACCCCTGGTTCCTGTGAATGAGACCTGAGATGGAAACAGGGTTGTGGCAGAGGTGACGATTAAGTGAGGGCATTAGGGTGGGCTCTAATGCGACATGGCTATTGTGCTAGAAAGAGGAGACTCGGGGAGATGCGGGGAGGACGGCTGCGGGATGATGGAGGCCTCCAGAACTGTGAGAAAAAATGTTGTTTTAAGCCTGCAGATTATAGTGCTTTGTTACCGCAGCCCAGGAGCAGATAGAGAGCCAGACTGGAGGGCCCTGGCCGCCACGGGACGTGACCTGGGGGCTGCCTCCCCTCACAGAGTCCTCACCTTCAGAAGCTCTCTGCCTGGTCCTTAGTCTGCCCCCAGCACCGTGAAGCAGGTCACATCTGCCCGTTTCACAGACAAACAAACTGATACACAAAGCAGGTGAGTCCTTCGCTGGGAGTGCAGCCTGAGCAGCAGCCCCCTCAGAGCCGGGGGCCCTGGATGTCCTGCGGAAGGGTCCCCGGCTGCTCGCTGCCACTGTCAAGCTCCGTCTACTCCAGGTTATTAGATCTACCTCCCCAGGGACCAGAACGGGCCCCGGGGTGTGTTTCACCAACCACCACCACATCCCACAGGGTCCCTCTGCCCTTCTCTGCTCCTGCCCTCAGCCAGGCCCAGTGCTGGCTGCGCACGCCCCTCCCCAGCCAAGCTGACACAGGGCAATGGGGGGGCTCTGACCGGCAGCCCAGACCACCTGGCCCCTACTTAAAGCCACTGCATTATTCTAAGACGATTATTTATCCGCGCAATGCTCCGGAGACCGCCACGTCCCTTTTCAGGCCCGCGCCCCTATTTCCTCGTGCTTCCATTGCCCCGGGCAGGCACTGAATGGCTCGCGATGTCGCTGTAATTTTTATCAAGGCTTGTTCCTGGTAAAAAGCCTCTTTGTTTCAGAGAGATGTGATTTGGCCTTTTTCCCTCCTCTCCTTTATTCCTTGGTTAATATACCACTTCCCCGAGCCCCGGGGGCACTGAGGGAGCCCCGGATTGCTCAAATCTCACTGTTTTTCTTCTAAATCACAGCCGACGCTCCCTGGCTCCGTGCTGCGCATCGTGTGAGCTGGGGCGAGGAGGGGGTGCGCTCCCGGGACCCTTCGCCTCCTGTATTGTTAATGCACCAGAGGGGGCCCCGACCCCCATGACCCTCTCAAATACCAAGGGAGGTCGGCTCCAGACACCAGCTCCCTAACCTCACGTTCGGCAACTCCACGGGGCGCTTAAAATAATTGTGGTAAAAGACGTAACATACAATTCACCATCCCAAGCATTGTTATGTGCGCAGCTCAGTGGCCCTAAGCACACGCTGCTGTGCAGCCGTCACCACCACCATCTCCAGAACTTTCCATCTTCCCGCACCGAAACTGTCCCTATTAAACAACAGCTCCTCAGCCCCGCCCCCAGCCCTGGCCCCTACTTCCTGTCTCTGTGAATCTGACGCCTCCTGGGACCTCATACTAGTAAAAGCAGACAGTATGGGTCCTTCTGTGTCTGGCTTATCTCACTCAGCACAATGTCCTCCAGGTCCATCCATATTGTCTGTCGCATGTGTCAGAATCTCCTTCCTTTTTAAGACTGCGTAATATTCCACTGTGTGGATGGGCCACATCTGTTTATCCGTCTGTCCGTTAAAGGATACCTGGGCTGCTTCCCATGTTTGGCGATTTGTAGCGCTGCTGTGAATGCAGGGGTGCAGATACCTATCTGAGTCCACAGTGTGCTTTTAGCATTACCAAGACCCCCGGAAAGAGGGTTCTCACAGGCCGCCCCACCACAGTGAAGCCAGGCTCCCATCCTGTCCCCTGGCCCCCATCCCCGGCGCCTTCTCCCGCACCACCTCGGCTGGCTCTCGGGGGCCTGGAAGCACAGCAGGCTATCTGTCTGGCTTGTCCACAGGTGCTCACTGGACCTCAGTGGCCCCTCCTGTCAAACAGGGGTACGTCCAACTTAGGAGACTATTGGAAGGTTCAAAGCAACAAGACATCTGCATGTGGGGACTCCATTCCTAGCGCTGTCACTGCACTGTCATCAGGCGGCCCACGCTCTGAATGGATGGCTCTGGTGGCAGGCAGGGCCCATGGCACCACTGGGGCTCCGTCCCCACCAGGCACCTGTCAGCACCCCACTGTGCCCACATGCACTTCTAGGACAGCAGGGACCCTGGTCTGCTGGAGGGGAGCGCC